TTTGGCATGCAAATCATTGAACGGAATGCCAACCGCCCGGAGATTGCTTAACAATTTTTTCTCGCCCGCAAAATGTTCGTTTAATGAAGCCCGTTTAATACGCACACATGCGTCATGAAATATTATTAACGCTTGTGTGCTGCTGCTGTGGTTGGTAATTAAAAAATTGCTCTTATGTCACGTGAGCCAATCTTTCTTGTTTTAATGTTTTTTCATATATTTTACGCATACGTTGCGCCGCGGGTGGCTGAAGTCAGCAGTCAAATGTCAACAGTAAATGCTGAAATTTAATAATAAAAAAATGAGCGGCGACCAGAATGAAAAATTAAAAATTATAACACACCATGCCGATGCAGGCGGAAAAAACATTATTTATATTTCATCGGGCTCTTAAACACTTTTACGGAGCGTCAAATCTTGCCGTTGTACCTTTAATCCAGAAGGTTTTAAAAGGGGTAAAAATGTGTGGGGATTAGATGTTATACCTCGTTAATTTGTTGTATTTTTTGGAGTTGGATTAAAGAAATGCTGTCGTATAACCAATTTCCTTTGAAAGTACTGTCTAAGAAATCATTAAGAATAGCTGGCTAATAAAAGCTAATTGAAACAGTTTTTCAGGTTTATTATTTTCTGTGTTTATATTTAAACACAATTAAGTGTGAAATTGGACAATAAAATATAGTTGTAAACAAATTAAAATATAAATGCCATACCATACTACCAAAAAACAAAATAGGCACCCACGAAAAACACAAATTAAATTCTGAAACAATTCCGTTTTTCGCAAAGCAAAACTCTGCAGTTGACATTTTTGCATTTGAGATTGGGTTAAAAAATTTAAATTGTTACATGATAATCGTCAAAAATAAAATAAAATAGAGATAGAGATGAAAAACAAGAACGGTCAGACGAAACGTTCCATCAATGAGGAATTTCAGTGTGTGCAAATTAAATTAAAATGCCAGAGCGCAAAATGCTGGCAAAAGAAATGAATTTTCTTGCTAGTTTTTGTTGTTGTTATTTGATATGTGTGTGTGCCAGTTTGGTTACTGGTTTGGCCAGCAGCTGGGGGAAAAAAAGAGGACCAGCAGTGAGAATGGCAGTAGGAGTGGCAATAGTAGCCTCGGCACGCTTCATATTGCTCACGCGCTCCGCTTCGTTTCTATTGAAGCAAAGGACGAAGGACGAGCTTTCTTTCCCACCGGCAACCCCCCTCCTCCTTTGCAGCATTTTCATCAGCGCAGCGCGCACACCGCGTTGTCATTTATCAAAAAAGCTAAAAGAATATATTTGCATTCTGAAATATGGCATTTTTATGCATTGGTGTGTTGCATTTTGCAAAACGGCAACAACATTCATCCCTTCGTCCTTCCAGAATGAAAAAAATTTCATATGAAATACGAATTCATAAGGCGAAAAATACGTGTGTGCTTGTGTGAGTTTGCGGTGCGCGTTGTGTATACGCCACGTTGCTCGCAATTTATTCAGACATTCACTTACATATAACCACATAAACACTCACACACACACTCCCACATTTGTTACATCGACACACACCTACACATGCTCGTATATTTGCTTAATACTCGCCGGAAAGAAACTTTTGCCCTAAGTGCATTGGCCAGTCCTTTGCAAACTGATGACTGGCCGAGATCCGAACTCTGAACTGTTTTATGGGAGCAAAATTTGATTGGGTGATCTAAGGTGCATAAAAGAAATACAAAATACTGAGGAATGTTGTTCCCCCTTTTTAAAGACTTTTCTAAAGCTAAGACACTCAAAGATTTCTTCTAAAAACTTTTTAAATGTTCTTTTTTTCATGTGTTTATATGGAGATCTGTTAGAACTTTAGTTCACAAGAATTCGATAACTTTCATTACACTTTCTTAACAATATAATACGCCCTACAACCAAAAACATTTTGATTTTGTTTTGAACAATTTTTAACCTTTAGAAAAATATTTTAACTCCAAATTTAAGGCATATAAAAAATATTTTCCATTCAGAGAAATATAAATAAAATTAACATTTTATGCTCGCAACTATTTAAATGCTATTGTAGATGAAGCTGTTCAACAAACTTTCCTCCTGCCACGCATAAAGACACAAATGGCTGGCATAAAATACAAAGCTTAATGCTTTAATAAAATGCCTCATGGGCTTACACCCTCGCACACATGTTATTCAATTGCCAGAAGGCAAGTGGAGATCCCCTGGCTACGCCAACAAATTAAGCATTGACTACAGTGTCCTGCGAAAGAGAGGGATAAACTACTGTAGAAAGAGACAGCGAAATGGAGCCTGGCCATCGGCACATGCAGTAGCACTTTAAGCACAGTTCAGGCTTAACACTCGCTTTCCCGAATTTTTCTTTCCGCCCAAGTCCGACCCTAACCACCTGCCAATGTTACACGTTACTTGGCCAACAGTATTTGTAATTGCTCTCGAATACCCAGTAGCCAAAAAGTAGGCTACACTTTTAGACAAAATTATGCTTTAAGGTTTTTTTTTAAATAATATGTCTTAAAATGAACCCATACAAAGTTGTTAATAAGGTACTAAGAAATGTTTTCACTATTACCAATAGATCAAATAATTTCCAAGAAATAAAACAATTATAATACAGTCATTATTTTATAGTCATCTTGAACTTGTTTATATGGCATATCTTTTTGAAATGATAGCTTTTATTTTCTTTAAATTACTTTCATTTATTGTTGTAAAAATAAGTTTCTCTAAAATAACATTTAATAATTAATATGTTAATTTATTCCTATTTACTAAATTTTTAAAAGTGATTAACAAGATTTTTAAGACATTTTCAATAAATACAATGATTACTCCTGCGTCTACTCTTTTACACCACCAATTTTATTTCCTGTTTGTTACCCCCGGTTACTATTTTATGCTCGTCCGTTTTCCTTTCTACTTTACTCTTTGCATCTGCTAGGCAATACTTTTTAGGTCGATGTTTACTAATTAACCGAAACATGCGCTCCTTGTAGTTACGCCTTACTTTGGCACTTCCTTTTGTTCCACCCACATGAGCAAGTGTTAGTGCGTGTCCTTAAGTGTGCACATGTATGCGTGGCATTGATGAAAGGCCTGGCAAATTCCGGCATCGGCTTTGTGTCTGTATTATTTTGCAATTAAGAATCTGCGCCTCAAAGCAACGCCCATACACTTTTGGCTTAACAGAAAACACAAAAAAAAATACCAACAGGAAGCAGCAATTTATTGGCTTTAAGGCTTTTGGGCAGACTTCTGGCTGGCATTATTCATTTCGCAGTCAGTATTTTCCTCTATATATTTTTCGTCGGGCAAATACTTTAATTGCAAATTGCTCGTTGCGCATACGCCCCGTGTGTCCGTTGTTAATGAGCTGATAATGAATTTATTAAATTTACTACTCGTTTGCATTTTATAGTCCAGTCGATAGATAAATTAACTCTTCGTGCACTTTTTTTTCTGTTTTTATGTGCCGTTGCTACTTTTGTAATGAGCCAGCAAAATTATTTATTTATTATTTATGCAGAGACGACCCATGTAAATTGATCCGAATGTTGTTTCACATTTTGCCATTCCTTTATTGTTGTTAATTTATGCACTTTGTTTAATAACTTTAATGGTGAGAGGGTGAAGGGAAGGGCAAAAGTATGTGGACCATAATAAATCAGCATTTACGAGAATTTACCGCTGCAGATTAAACAAAAAAAAGGTATATTAAAATTTGAAACAAAAACATACACTAGCCGATATTGACAATGCTCTTTGCACAACTTTAAATAAGTTCTTTCTAAAAATTTAGAAAACATTTATCCCGTAATTTTTTTTTATTTCAGCTCTACATTTTTGCCCACAATCACATTAAGCTTTTAAAATATTTTACAGTGTGCTTATCTATTTTAACAATATATCTATAAAAATAAATATTTATCCCATTTGCAGATTCTGATTCGTTCATAGCATAAATAAAGTAAAATGTAAACAAAGCATTAAATGAAATACAAATTAGGTGAATTTTACATTGCTTTCTTTTCTGTCCTCTTTTAACTTTTAATCCCATTTATTTACTTCCCCTAACAGCAATGATTGCTTTCCATTATGCCGCGAAATTTGTAAACATTTAATGCTAATTAAATTTAAATGCAATTAACTCGAGTGCTTGATTTAATACCAATTGAATTTTTTATATAAATATATATATTTCAAATTATATTATAAATATATATCCTTTTAAATGGTCATTTTATTAGGCTTAGCATAAAACGCAGTAATTAACGGCATGATGTACGATGAAACTCGTTTTTTGGCCTCAAATTGCTGTTTAAATGTTGATTTAATTGGTTCAGTGAACTATAATGTGATGTTTGTGTGGCCAAATAGTTGTGGCATTTTACCAAAGCTGAATTGATACATTTGTTTATATAAAGTTAAGCCAATTGCGATTTGATATCGGATAAATAAAACTTCGTGTAATTTTGCAGAAATTTGTTTTTATTCAATGCTTAACTAGGTTAATCTAACATATGCCCATCTTAACGAATAGTATTACTTTTATTTAAATATTATTATTTTTAATGAAATAAGCTTTTTAAGTTTACCTTGTTCAATATAGACTCTAATACATTGTTTTCACAAACAAACCATAAAACATAAAACTTATCTTAAAAATGTATGCACACTTATTTTTACAATTACTTGTGAGTAATAAACAGAAGGTCAAAAATCACCCAAAAATCAAAAAAAAAAAATTCATTATTTCTACCCAAAATTAATTTGTAAGCAAGATAGTTTATCCTGGTGGGCAACAATCACCAAAACCTGCACAGCGTAGATCACAATGTTCAGATATTATACTAAAGAGTAAAACTAGCATCCAAAGACAGTTTGAAGACTTCTTCATTTTTCCTAGTATAATAAAACACTTGATTAATAAAAAGATACTTTACATTCAACTAGTACGTAATCATACGTAACTGATTATATATTGCTAAATGTTAGAGATTTGATTTGCTTTAATACGATTCGCAAACATTTAAATATTCGAATTTAATAAAGAATGCAAGCGTTTTAAACATAATATAGCCACGGAGAATGATGATAGGACCAAGTAACGAAATCATTAGTAACCGGGAACAAGCACCAAGCCTAAAATATTAAGAAATAAAGCAAGTTAGATTTGTCACTGCAGCAGAAATTGGAATTGGCTTTTAATAGCCTAAAAAAAAAACTTAGCATGAAACCTTGAAGCGGCAAAAACACTTCAACAAAAAAGGGTTTATTTTTCTTTTATTACATAAATAAAAAAACGAATTACTTTACCTTAACGCATTGCGCAGCAACTTGACCACAAATATTGACACTCTTTGGGACAACTCGGACGATGTGCAATAATTAAAATTAAAACTACAATCCAACAACAAATAAAGGGCCCCTTCATAGTATTCATTTGTTTCTAGTTTTATAAATGACAAAGCGGCCTATATTGAAGTAGAAAAAGTCATGCACAAACATTTAGCTTAATCAATATAAGTTGGTATAATACGATTCGTTCAACTTAAGACATTTAATAATAAAAAACACTTAGGAAAACGTTGTAAATGTTCTAAATGTTCCCAAATGGTTAACTAAGTTACATATTAACTTAATTAGTAAGGACACCAATGTTTTGCTTGTATATGTCAATGCATATAATTTTCAATTAGTTTTCTATTTTTTAATTTTGAACCCCTTTACATTTTTGCAAAATAAGTGCTCTGTAGATTATTGCACTTGATTGGAAATTAGATTTTAACCTCATTCTTGGGCATTTTCAATTGTGAAAATGCAAAGACCACATATACAAAAACAGAGGAACATTATCTCCGTTGTTGGGCAAACATAGACAATAGGGAAAGCCTCTTATTCAAGGTATCAACATTATCCGCCGCATAATAAGCAGTACAATCGCCGCTTCACTCCAATTCGTTACACGTTTATTATTTATTTATTTAAAAATTTCCGCCTAGTCTCCGCCACGATGGTCTCTCTATTCTGCGTCCTCTTTGTGGTCCAACCTTTTTAGCCACTTTCGTTTTAATGTAATCAAATGAACGTGCCTTGCATTATTCTGTTGCCAATAAATTTCACGAGGCAAATAGATGAGGATTGGATACCGGTCCCCCTTGGTTGTTTGCTACTTCTTTTGGGGGGAGTCGTTTTCACCCACGGGAACGTAATGTAATGCATTGTAAAAAATTATCTTAAGATCAAATCACAATTATACAAAATTAACTATTAACTACCCAATAAATAATTTGTTAATAAAATATTGTATACTTAAAAATATATATGATATTGTTTTGAAATTAAGCTATAAGTATTTTAACAAAATCTAAGACCTAAATTTTTTAAATACTTAAGAAATGGTAGGCTACTATTACATTGTGTATGTATTAATAAAAATAATAAAATCAAATTCGATAATACTGAAATTAGATCGTAAATTTTGAATGAAGGAAACCAAATTTTATTGTTGCATACAATATCCTTAGGCATCGAAAACCCTATTTATAATTCACAATTCTGTATTTTTTTTCTCTGTGAATATTTCTCCGACTCTTTGCAAACTCCCACGAACAATAACAATGAGCTGGCTTCGATTCTCAGTTGCTGTTGTGGCAACGTCTTTTCCTTTCGGGCAACGTGTAAAATTGAAAAATTCTCTCGAGTAGCCAGCAACAGGAAAAAAAATAGAAACAACCGCAGAGTCCTTGAGGGGGTTGGGGGGTGTGCTTTTCGGTGGGCGGTAGGGAGCCCTGGGATGGGGTGGTCGCCTCTCATATAATTGAAAGGGACAACACGTCGAGTCGAGGCTATTAGGTTCGCTGCCGCTTTCTGCGCCTCTGCTGCGCCCTTTATCATTGCTCTTGAGACTCGGCGGCTAATGGATTTCAGTGCCACTCCCCCTAGCTACAAAGATATATAGTATTTATGTATTTTTTGTTATATTTATGTATTTATTTTCACTTACAGTCGAAGTACTCGAACAGCAGCGTAAACAATGCCAAACAACATTTCACTTCACATATCCAAAAAGCGGTTGAACGGCTTCCCCCGAACAACACCTCATCGCCCCCTTAACAGTAGTGAACTGGTCATGGGAAATATGCAAAATAGCTGAGAGGGAAATATTTCTATTATTTATTTACTCACTCTCCCTATTTGCATTCGCCTGTACCTCACACAGATAAGAGGGGCGAGGGGTGCTGCAGGCACAATGAAGCGTGCGGAATGTGTTTAGAGTGAGTTTCCTTTTTTGGTTTTTTCTTTTTTCTGATTTTTTCTCTTTTGTATATTTTTCATATTTTACACTTAGCCAGAGCCCAGAGACACAGGATCAAACTGTGTCCCTTTTGTCCCACTCAATACGCTATAGCATTTTTATGGGGCATCCAAAAACCATTAAGGTAGAACTAAAATATTTATATTAGCATGGAAATTTAATTAAATAATAGTTTTATTAACGAAAAAACCCTTAAAAATGTCTGCAAATACTTTAAAAATTTTTAGCTTTATTCTTTTTTGTAAAAATCTAATTTATTTATTTATAGAATACTTCCTGATTACTAAGCATCTTAAAAAGTGTTTTAATAAATTATTAAAACCTTTTTTAGCAACATTTGTAAGACGTCGCAAGCACCAAAGTATTAAATCTTTCTTTTTCGTTGCAACAAAGTGTGCTACAAAAACCGGAAATGCCGCGTGCACGCACACACTCAAAGAAAAATATTGAGAGAGGGAGAAAGTATAAGAAGAAAGTAAGAGTGGAAGGCAACATTGTAGAGCAGCTCCCATTTTTGAGCTTGGAACTCTCAATTGAATCTTGATGCACGTGCCTGGCACAGAGCCCAAATATAATTCCAAGGCGGACATTTGCGATGGCATCGCATTCAGGACTTCCACGAAGTCCCAAAGGGTGCAGGGTACTCTCGCTCCTACTCCCTCCATGTCCTTTGCCATTCGCATCCCAATTTATTGGGCGGAACGAGGAGGGCGGTGGAATGCCAAGGGGGTTGGCAGTGGCCCAATGGGTTTTTCTTGTTCTTGTTTCATTCATAATAATTTTTATTATGGGTCATCGGCCATTTGTTTAACGCTATCCACATGCGTAGAAAGGGTGTTTGGGTGGTTAAGTGGGAATGGCATATAGCCCAGGGGCTCGGGTCCATTTCATTCAGTCCATCTATTAGAGCGAATGTATCCTGGGCCCGTTTTCCCTTTTTTTTTGCGTTTCTGTTGCTCTTGCTGCTCCTCAATATTTTTTATATTCTTTATTTTGCATATTTTCGTATTATTTGTTTTATTTATGGGCCCATGACTCTGATAAATGGCCGCAACTTCATCCTTCGTCCTGCCCACCTATCAACGTGTTGATGTGATTTCTTTTCTCCACTGAATACCCCTTGAAGTTTGTCCGTTAAGGATTATTTGTTCACCTTAAATCGTATTTCTTTCATATAACATCCAAATATTAAACTTGTACATACCAATAAAATGTATAACTTTTTTTTACATAATTTAAAACCATTTGTCAAATATTTTAGATAATTTAAACAAGTTTCACTTAAAACACTGGACTGAAAAAGTATATTATTATTTTGTTACATACAATTAATTATTTTTTTTTTTTTTAATTTTATTTCGACAAACATGTTTTAAGGCAAGAGCTAAAATATAAGAACTATTTTTATAAGTTTTTATTTTAACTTTTCTTACACAGTATTATAAATTTGAACCTTTAGATCTCATCATTTCGTGCACATTTTATCCACATTTTTTTCTCAGCAAATTATTTAAATTTCTTATGCAGGCCCTCGTACAAAAAGTGAGAGATGGAATGGCACAGGATGAAAAGGAGAATGGGAAGTATGTGTGGGTCGGCGGTAGCAAATTGATAGATGTGCTGTCCGTCCGTTTCGAGGACCCGAAAGTGGCAGCTGCTCGTTGTCTACACAAGAATTATGATGGCTAATAACAGGTCTAAGTGGTTGCTCTACGGTGTTCCATCAAAAATCGCATACAGCTGCTAACCGAAAAATGCAATTGATTCGACAGTTGGTGATGGTTTTCGGCCCGAGGATAAATCAAATATGAAAGTGCACCGGCCAAATGAGTGGGCCGCATGATTTATCGTGCTTCAAGCTATGGACCGCTGTTTACATTTTGGCGTAGATTACTTTTGGTCAAACGCAATTAAATTGAGCTTGATGCAGCATCAGAGTCACTGGCACTAGTTTATTCGATGTTTTTGTTGATTGTTCTGGGTGCAGATGTCAGGACATCCCGGTGCCACAGCCCCAGCCATCGAGATCCCCCTCTTTTTGCATCCTGCCATGGCTCATCACGCTCGGCTACGTTTTCATTTTGGTTCAGTGTGCAACGAAAAACTTTTCCCTATGACAAAGTTTGTATCTGCGGATACTCCCATCCTAACATCCTTTCGTTGCGAGTGTTTTATTTAATTTCCAGCACGCGGCCATTCGCAATTGCAATTCAAATTCGCATTGCAGCGGAATTTTCGAAGGGTGACGAGGGTGATGTAATTGGGCAGAGTGTGGGCGTGGCTGGGTTTTGGCTTACTAACTTCGCTTTTCATTTTAGGTCCATCAAAGCCACTTGCAGAGCTGAAATTGAAAAGCTGTCCTGGGCTTTTAGAAAGCAGTTTGGTTTTAAGTTAACCATAGATTACTAATAAATTACTTTATTGATTGATTGAGTTAAAAAGGGTGAAGATGGCAAAGAAAGGAGGGAAGTAGTGAAGAAGTTGTAGAAGAAATTCATCAAAGTTTGAAGGAGTTGCTAAGCAAATTAAACTGTTAGCCAAGTAGTCGTATACGTAATATAGGAAGGTTAAATAAAAAAGTGTTCATCCCTATGTTTAGTTCACTTAATTATAAAAATTGCACCGTTTCACCCAACATTATCTAACAAAATAAAATAATATACGAATAAAATCAGTCTTGACCATTATATAAACACTAAAAGTCTTACAAAAAAAGTTTTTTAAAAATGTCGCCGTGGGGCATTTTTTGTGCAAAAAATCATAAAGAACACATTTAATTCAGTTATCTACATTAATTATACATTTAACTGACACTTCAAAGAGTACTGAAAAATCATGTCATAATGACTAAATTGAATTTATCCAGAAAGGGGTGCCAACTGCCGCTAAGGATGTAATTATGTGTTTCCATTTAACCGGCTGTCTAACGTTTCGCTTGGCCAATTTGCATTTGTCTAGCTAAGCGACAGCCGGCAATTAAACATGGCTGTGCCGCGAGCAAGAAATTAAGGGGGAAGTGTGCTTAGAGAAAGGGTAGAGTAGAATCAGCGAGAAAGTTGTCAGCACTTTGAAGCATTCACATCGTGACTTGTCTTCTTCTGTGGCAATTCCATTGAATGTCCGCAGTCAGCCCACAATCTGTTTGTCTGTATAAACCTGATGATACTCCACTTTTCCCCCATGTAAATTGTTCCCCGCCTGCAATGTGTATCTGGGTGTGTGTTGGTAAATATGCCCTGCGTTGGTTTGGTCTTGTTGCGCTTTAATTTATGCCATCCCCAACAGCAGTTTCTACTGCTCCTGTGGATACACTCTACAGTTTTCCCATCCCCCCTGTCAACCCCTCTCCAGTGTCTGTTTGGTGGAGCAAAACCTATTTTCTTTGCAGCTGATTGCATTTTATAGCATTGCAACCTGTCAGGCTAACAGCTTCAAACTCTCAACTCCTTTGCCCCAGGAATTTTCAGCTGCACAACATCATACCAGTCCCCCTTACTTTTTACCCAGCATCCAACCCTTGCTCTATGAATTTTTTAGCACGCCTCGCGTGCTGCTCTGAACCTGAAAGAGCAAGGGAGATGAAAAGAGAGAAAGGGAGAGAGCAATAGAATAAATAAAAATTTATTTAGCGGAAAACCTACAGTTTCGGTACACTGAACTAAGAATAAAAAAAATCATTTGTTTAAAAGCAAAGTTGAGCTAAAATAAAATTTTTAATCAGTAGAAATCAGAAAATGGTTTTAAATCAAATGCTTACAATACTTAACTAAGTATAAAATATATAATGTTTAAAGAAATAACTGAGGGGACAACGGTTTTTGCCGATTAATAAATCAGAAAATGGGGGTTAATGTATAATATGTTTTCAACGGTATTTATGATTTTAAATCGTTAAGAATGTTTTTAATATAAATAAATAGTAAAAAATATCAAAATATGTACTGCTTTATATTAAATTGTTTTAGTTACTCCTTTTTTCTGTGTACTATGGCACCCATTTAACCTAATATTTGTTTACCTGGCTTTGGTTGGCTTCAAATTTATTGGCGCAAATCAGCTAACAATAAGAGTGGAAGTGTTTCCGCCTTTAGCCATAATTTGGCTGGAATTGTTAGACTGCACCCATTTTTCCACACCATTTTCCCTTTTAGCCCCGCGGCCACTTTTCCTGACACCAATTTCTATTTCTATTTCACCGTCACCCTCTAAATTCGCACTCTTTGTGTTCCAAGTGCCGTTATGCGATTCAAGTTCCGTTTAATAGTTAATGCAAAGCTTTTAAGCACCCAACAGCAGTCAACAGCAACTGCAAGTCGCTAAGAAAAAATACAAAAATAAATAAAGAAAATAAAACTACGAAAATGAGTACAAGAAATGTGAAGTCCGAGCAGGGAAACTCAAAGCCGCTTATACCCTCTAAATGTATTGTATAAGTATGAGTTAAAGATTCTGGGACACTTAAAAACAAACGTCGAAAAAATAGCTTTTACTTACATTTTTTTAATACCAACTAAAGAGTTTCCTCCGTATACAAAACACCCCTTTAAAGGGAGAAATCTGAATGCAAATTAATTTTAGCTTATCAACTCGTGTAGGATTTTAAGTGATATTTTATATTTTCTGCATTAGTATTTATTTATTTCAGTTCACTGAACTAATAAAAGTAATATAATCCTTTACATTTTTCCACTCTCTTGTTACATTGTTCAACATACCCGACCCTCTTCACCTTTTAACGCTCAACTGACTCTAACTGTTGAATTAAATTTTCAGTATTTTCGTTTGCAGACTGGGAGTGAGAAATTCTCGTTCTTTGCACTGCAACAAGGCGAAACAAGTGCCGCATGTAATTACATTAGCTTTTATTTCTATTATGCGCTCATAACGTATTTTTTATTAATGCAGCATTCCATTAAAGGAATTAATGGCGAGCGAAAAAAAAGGTTGGGAAAAGCAGTGGCAGACGGGGAAATCGGATAGAGGGAAATGGGCGAAGTGTGGGCGGGTAATTAAAAATGATCGGAAAGTTGAGCCAACATAATGATGTGCTTAGCACAAGTCGAGAGCAGCTGCCCGGTTGCAAGTTCCGTGTCCATTGCCCAGTAATATGTTGAACCAGCAACGATGACCCAACAAGTTGTTGAGTGCTCAAGGACCTGTGCCAATATCTGGGTCAACAACTTGGAACACACTACCAGAGTGACTGCAGAAACTAAATGCTATATATGAAGCTAAAAATAATGGAGGTATAAACTGAAGGAAGGCATAATTCATAATATATATTTTTATACCGAACATATGCGAAAATATATAAATAAATAAATATAAAAGCTAGTTTTGATTTGAAGTGTTACTTTTTACTTATTAAAAATAAAAAAATGTAAATGTTTTTGAATGCTTCTGAAATTATTCGTAATATTCTTCGCTTTACAAAATAAACCATAATGCCTTAAATTTAATTTAAAACAAAACATAAATACATATTTTATATTTTCCATTAAAGTGCAAACATCTATTAGCACTGCAATCTACCGCAAAATGCATTCACAAAAACAACTTCCTTTGCATAGAAATTTCATTTAATTTATTTTTCATAACCCACACAATAATTGAAATCGTAAAAAAAATAATAAAAAACCCCATAACTAAAGCCAAACCAAAAACATAAAAATCAAAGTAAAAAAATGCACAAAAGAATATTTTTGCGGAAACTGCAATGGAGCAACTATTAATATACACATAAAAAAATCCATTTCGTTCGCATTGAAAAGCAAAAGATTTTTCATGAACTGGCCGAAGTTTATTAAAAAAATGATGATAGCTGTCCTCCCTTCTGAGTGTCGCCGGTTAGCCAGCCAATATTTTATTCATTCCATTTTGACATAAAGCTCAAAAAATGCATACATAAAAAGAAGTGTGAATAGTGCGGTGATAGAGAGAATGGTTCAATGGAATGGTTTTAGTTATTGTAAGCGATCAGCCAAGTGTGAAAACCATTTTCAGTTCGACTTTCAGTTTTATTAAATTTTCCTGTCTGTCCATATATTTTTTGTCATGGAACGAACGATAAGGGGAATTGCAAATTTGTTCTATACTTTTTGCAATGGGAAATGAAAAATTCACAAAAGCTATAAATTTATTCTTTGTCTATTTTGGCTTAATAAACTTAATTAGAAAATTAAAAGAAAATTTAAATTACAGAAATGTTAAGCATTTGAAATAAGATAGTTAAAAATGATTTAAATATTTTTAAAGCCAAGTAGAAGAGACTATTTATTTTTCATTATAAATTTATATTATAAAAATACTTTTCTCTAATTAATCTTTTTAATAAGTTTCCAAATTCCTCTCAGATCTTCCCAACCCAAGTACTTGTCCTAATCAGCCACACTAACTTAAGCTTATTGGCAGACAGCGATTCCTGGGAAATTGTCTGGGATGAAGCGATTCTGAAGCTGGCAGCTTCAAACTTGGCCCAAAGCAAGTTGGCCTGTCAAAAGTTTTTAGGCGGAGCGTCAATGCTATCGTCATCCTGCTTTGACTGCGCACATGATTATTACACGCGCTCACACACAGTCGCACACACACACTCTGACAGACAGACACATGCAAACTTTGGACCAAAAAACTTGCCGCAAAAAGTTTTTAAGTAAACGGAGAGAGGAAAGCCGCAAAGGGTACGAAAAAATTAAACTAAAAACCAAACTTTAACTTAATGAAAATGCAATATTTGCGAGGGCTGTGGGTGGCAAAAGTTTTTCCTGCCTGCTGGCAATTTATGCAGCAACGTAGGCCAAGTCGTGGAAATCAAAAAAGAATCGAGTTTGAGTTTTCAGTCACTGATTTATTCCACACAAAATCAAAATCGGAAGTATAGTAATATTAGTGCAAGTCGAAAAAAAAGTAAACCCTCTTGATTATGGCGGGAAATATTATCTTCCCACATGAACATAATAAAGGATGTGCTCTCTTCTACAAACGCAAGCGTTCCCTTATCAAAAAACCAGTAAATCTACCATTTAAAAGGTATCCCAATTTACGCAAAAGTCAAGTGGATCGAGTCGATTCGGCCCTAGAGGCAGCTGCCAATTTCTCTAGAAAAAAGGTGGACGTTGAAGAGGTTTCAGAAACGGAGGAAGACTCTTCAGAAACTGAGATAGATAATTTCAAAACAAAGAAAGAATATCCTAAAATGAAGAAAAATCCCAAAGCTAAGAAAGCAAAAGCATTAAAAAAGATCGCGAAGCCCTCCAAAGAAAAGTCTTTCGCTTTTCGGGTTGAACATGAGGAAACTTCTGAAGAAGAATCTGAGGACGACTCTTCGCCAGGAACGTCTAGAAAAATAGATTCCGAAACCTTTAACATAGCCATCAGTAAAAGAAATTACCGTCGCATGCGAACTGCCTTGAAATTACTTGATTTTGTAGAGGGAAACGACGATGACAATGAGAGCGATTGGTCTATGAATTCTACACCATCATCATCTGTTTTTTTCGATAAGGCCAGAATTGGAGCCAAAAGGAGTACTCGGCGGTTAGAAGCCATGCAAGATCTGTCGCCCAAGGACTACTTTGGTTTCTGTAAGGATTGTCGATCGCGTTGCAGAAGTTGTGGAAGGCGTCCATCGGCTGTGGCCAAAACAAAAAAATAAATGAATTGCGATGTGAAATGGGAAGTTAAGATAAAATATTTTTAATCATGGTTTTAAAAGTCAATTTTAAATTTAATTAATACAATTTTTTTAAATACCTATCCAAAATGTCAATAATTTAATTTATAATGAAATTGACTTTATAGGGCTCAATTCAAAGTTAAATAAAATATGTATTTTATACTTTATAAATGTTTTTAAACATTTTGGGTATTCTAGATATATAAAACATTGGTTTTAAATAGATTTTGGGTATAAATCTCTGATAAAAACCTAAATAACCTTACCACTAGCATCATTGTCCTTAAGAGCCACAAAGCAACTGATTTCAACAATTTTAACATAATTTCAGACACCCAAAAGAAAAATTACATTCGGCAAAGAATTTTTCTTCTTTTATGTCCTGTCCAAACACACAGGTATTTTTTATGCGTCTCAAAGTATCTCATAGTAATCAGTTTCTTTTTTCATAAGTCTAGAGGGGAGTTGGGAAAAAGGGTGCCGAGATAATCCAAATCTCATTACGCGCAAGTCGTACTTAAGATTAAAAATAATTATTTCAATTTCTGTGCCAGGCCATCGTCACGTAGTCGCACAGGTGAGCTGGATGGGAAAACCGAGGGAAAAGTGGGATAGAGGCGGAAAATGGGGACTTCGGGGCTGCGGGGCCTGAGAAAAAAGTGAAAATTCAATTAGAATGCGCCAACTTCATGTGAACAGGCAGCCAGGCGAGTCTAACTGTCTGGCTATGGAGTCGGCGTCCCTCTGTCTGTCTGCTCTCCGAAAATGCAATGCCGGCATGTTGTATTGCAGGTGGATGTGGGCGGTAAACGGGCAAGGATGTGGGTTGGAAAATAGGGCAGAAAATGGGGGAGGACCACCATCGTAGAACGTAGAACCACCATCGCGTAATCCTTTTGCCAGCCTGCGAGCAACCACAATAATTTGATTTTACTTTGCTTTAACTTCATGAAAAAGTTTCAAGTTTTTTTTTCCACACACACCTCTGCCGTTGCTGCTGCTGCTTCTGATAAAGTTTTTAATTTTGCAGCTGAAACTCATTTAGCGCAACGAAAGTGCGAAACTGCGGCGGCATCAGAGGATGATACGTGTTTTAGGATCGTCTGCTGCATATTTAATAGCGGCCTGCTCAAAAAAAAAGAAATCTTAAAAACCTCCACGCACGCACATACATATATACGTCATATTTTTTATTATTTAAATTTCGGCTACTCTGTGCCTAAGGCGTAATAAAAGCCGGAAAATCAACTGAGTTGAAACTTTGGCCAAACAAATTTAAGCAAGAAATTGCTACACGAACCGGAAAAATACACAATCTACAAAAATTCATCTTCATTATAATGCTGGCGAGGCTTGAGTGGGTTGAAATGCATTTAAATGAGGTCTGGCCAAATGAAGAATTCGGCGAAATTAAGAGCCAAAAAATATTAAAAGTCTCATATATTTTTAGTTTGAATAATATTAAAGGATTGCTGTAATTATAAGAGGTTTTGCAGTTCATTTAATGAGATTTATAGATAAGTAAAGCTTTTATTACCTTAAAAAAAAAAGACAATTCTTTTAACCAAATGTAATTGTCGAAAACAAAAGTGAAAACTTTTTATGATAGTCAAACAATTTGGTTTCTTCTTTTTTAATCCATCTCCGAGTGTGTGAGTATTAGTCGAAATCAGACACTCTCGAACGACATTTGGAAAAACCTGTCACAGTGATTGAGTTTTTTATTTTGACTTTTTGATTGCATCGGAAGCTCGTGTCCGTTTTCGCTTGAAAGTAATGAAGTTCCAGAGTCCTGGAGTCCTGGTCTAAAGGACATCGCTTTTGAGAACACAAAAGTGGATTCGCAATCCCTTGCGTAGCTGAAATATTTTTTGGGTACTAAAAACAATGCAATTCAATTTTTTTGACCAACAAAAAGAACAGCCAAACATTCCTATCCCCCGTCCTCCACAAAAAGCAATTCTATTTGATGCGGTAAAAGTGTTTGAATTTGAATTTGAATTAATAGGATTAGAGTGAAATGACTTTCAATGGGGGTAAATAAATTAAAGTGCTTTTTGCCATCGAATTGAATGCAAATGTTGATTCTGTTTCACTTACACAAAGGGACTACGAGCGAACGCACAAGAAAACACCGAGCTGACAGAGTTGATATAGGAGCAACCAGATTAGTTGGTTAAAAAATATTTCCGCATGTAGCAGCAGAAGAAGCATTTTAATTATCGCAATTCCCCAGGGCGTAGTTCAACTAATTGCCCTCCCTTGAGGCGGTATTCTAGTCGAGGGGCTGGGGTGTTTTTCAGATGTCACAATTAAACTATGGCCCCAGCCAAAGGACTCCAAACATAGCACCCACAGCACTGAAGAAAATTTTAAGTACAATTTAAGAGAATTCGTAATTGTAGTTAAATGTTAATTTAAGAGGCAAAAATAAGAATTTCTTACTTAATATCATTGGGCGGATAATTAAAATCTTTGTCTATACAATTTATAAATGGCTTATAATAGAAATCACAGAGAATTACTCAAATTTACCATTTATTTATTTACATTTTAGATGATTTGGTTTCTGAAGAAATCTTTCTAATAATTACGAATACAAATAAAACATCCAGTTATGATAAATTGAAAATGGTCTAATGATTCTTAAAAGATATTCGTTGAAAATCATTTGAGAGGGTAGTCTTTTTTTGGGAATTTTTCTCTGAGTGCACTTACGCAGTTTTGGGCCTTGTTGTTCGTTTTCCTTATCAGTGACTCAAAATGGCAAAAACTGCCGGGGTACCCCTATTAGGAAACCACAAAAAAAACAAACAACAAAGGCATGAACAAACTGAAAGTCAGAAGAAGGCGCGTGTTGCTGTTTCCTGGGAAAAAATTAGGCATTCCGTGCGAAATATAGATACGAGATAATCATTTTAATAAATTTCACAGTGATAAATGACTTGGCTTCTCTCTATTTATTCGCCCGACTTCCAATTTCTCTTTATATTTGTCCTGCGTCGTTGTCTATTGCCGTAGGCGTGAATTAGTAATTGCTGATGCTTAGTTATGTCCTGACTAATTGATGGGAAAGACCCTTTGAGATGGTTACTATTTCTGAAAGTGGGGCAACGTTTGAAGAGCTCTGTGCCTTTTAAATAACATAAATACATATGTACATTTTATATTTATATTGTGTATATAAAAGCTAATTTTTAACTAAAAAACATTTAAAAATGCATCTTTCATTTGCATTATTTTTCAATTTTTAGCATAAACTGTTCGCCATCATGATAATTCCTCTTTGTTTTCCTGCTGTTAACTTTCCGCACATTTCACTTACCAAAATTACTGCCATAGAAGCAGCTGTTAAAAAGAACTGCCGGATGTGTCGAGTGTTTTTAATTTTCGCTTGAGCAGTTTTCGTTCCTCTTACCCCTCCCGGTCCCCAGAAAATCAATTGTTTGTTTGGCGCATTATGCAAATTATGAAACTACAAAAGAAAACTTTCAGAGGATTTTTACGCCAGTTTTTGTTTGGCCACAGATGTTGACATTTTCTGCCAATTTTTGTTGGACAGGCAAACAAAAATATATCCACAAATTAAAAAACGAATAGTTTTACATAAGTATGACAATTTTTCTCTGCTTTTATTTGATATATAATATTTGTATAATCCAAGACTTAGGGGTCTAATACAATTCGATTCGTAGAAATGATGCAGCGCCGGTAGAAAAGTTTTACCACAGTTAATCGTAATCTACAGCTAAGCTACATAATAAATATGCCATAATAATAATTTGATAAATATCTAAATTTTTGGATGTTCATATGTGATTCATACTTAAAACAGTATTCAATATGCCATTAATCGCTAGTCGTTATTTTGGCCCGATTATTCGCTCGTGTGGATGTAATAAGGAAAGTGTAACAAAAAACAATCTGGCGATTATAGCACATATATAGATATACTCTAAACAATTGCACCAAACAAAAAATTCGCATTAATAATTCGTGACTTGTGTGATTTGATTCGATATATGTTCGATTGTTTTGTGTAATTGGTATTTTGGTTTCTTTGAGTGTTCCTTGTGAGTTTTGTGTATTTACATAAATGAACTACAAACCTAGAAAAATGAGTGAGATAAAAATATCAACAAAATATACATTTGGCATGTATTTATGTAAGTGTGTATATGGCGCCCATTTGGAAACCTATTTTGCCAACTCATACCGAAATGAGCGGAAAATCCTGGGGGTTCCGATTTCACATTCATGTTCTTTTCGACCGATCCTAAGCCAATGGCGTTGGCGAAATTGTGGCACGTGTCGTTCTGGTGGGCGACTTGGTCGGCGTGGCAGCACCACTGCTGTTCCCACTGCCGCAACCACCATTTCCATGAAGCCGGAAAAGCTCACCCACCGTGATGGCCACTTGGACGGCGCCTTTACCCTCCAGAACGTCGGCAGCACAGCAAATTAGATTCTACAAAAATAAGATTTACACAAATAAATTAAATTTTCATTTTGAGTAGGAAAAAGGTTGGCGATTTTCTTTCGTTGTGTTTTATGGCAGACGATCAAACGAGTTAAATATGATTGGTGAATGATTGTTAACCGAAAATGTGTACTTAAGGTTTTTATATCGCTGAAAATATTTTTTCTTTTAAATTTTAAAAACCTCAACACTAATTTTTTGTCGATTTAAGACAGGGAACCAAATTTCGATCAAAAAAATTGAAATAATATTTAAAATCGAATAAATAAGTAAAAGTATTTTAATTCTGTAAGATAAACTAAATTGCAATCAGTTTTCCATTTACTTTTAGATCGTCAACTGATTAATTTTGTTTGTCTTATTATTTCCCAGCTTTCAACAGTTTTCAAGCCACTGTATCAAGTCTTAGCTAAATAAAATATGTTCCACACCTCGTGGTTTAAGTCTTAGCTTGAGCATAATAACTGTCAAACTGTAAACTTATAAATTTAATAACTTGTTCATTTTTGTTGGTATATTTCTCATATATTTTGCTCTTTGATTTCAATTGTATATATATCGTTTAGTTGACAGTTTGTGCTTAAATGTAAATGCAACGGTTTTATTTTCATTTGGTTTGGAAGTAAACGTATAGAATATTCCTCTGACAAATGCTGACAAAAAGTTTGGCTTCAATTTTCATTTTGGAGATTTCGTATATATTTTGTAGTATATATGCATGTTAAATACGTGTCTTTTATAAAAATTAATGACTGATTACAGATGGGTCGACGCCTTGTCTTTCCTCTAATAATTTTGTTAGACAAAATATATATTTCTGGTTTTAGACGCTAGATAAATATATATGTTTATCTTTTTTCTTTTCTGAGTGTTCGAGATTGTGCTTTTTAAAAAATGTGATTAGATTTGATTTTGTTTTCATCGTTTAAGTACAATTTATTCATAAATTAAATAAATATGTTTTAATGTTAGGAATGTTGTTAGCACATTTAAAGTTTAATTAAATAAACTTGTTCGTAAACAAAATTGGTAAGGAAAAGCGTCCAGTAACTCATGAGAAATTTATTAATGACAATTAATTGCTTTAGATAGCAAGAATAGCTACGATATTGCTATTGGTTATAGGCAGACTAGACTGTCGCCGATATCCAGTCAAAGGCACTGTTTTGTGATTATTATTTGTATTTGAATGGTCTTTTTTATGTGAAATTCTGCGCGTTTAAATTTTTTCAAAAATGTAAGTGATGTTTGGTGATGTATTTTAAAAAACTTGTTTAGATTTTGTTACGGTTTTCTTTTTCACATGTATTTTGTACATTAAAAGTACTTGAGGAAGTTCCAATTACGTTATATTTTTTAGATGGCTTTGAAATTTTGCAAAAAAAATACTGAAGCAGACTTTAATTGTTTAAATTTGACGTGATTATTGCCATAAAATTTAAGCTGCAAAGAAATCACTAAATTAATATCGTCAAATATTGTGTGCACTTGCAAAAAAAAAGAAGTGTTTTATTGAAATTGTTTGGCTACAGATTTTTAACTTCATTCTATAACTGTTTTACGCATTTCTACAACTATTTTGAGTGTCCCTGCTTCAAGTAAAACCATACAACTCCAACTTCCTCCAGTAGCTTTTTTTTCAATAACTACCAGAATTAATTGTCCATCAAACTGTAACAAGTCTCTTTCCTTTTTTATCATCTTAAACAACTAATTGGTATATATCTTATCATCTAACTATATATATTTTACGTTTTCATTTGTCTTTTTTTTTGCCAGAATGGAACTTACATAAAATTAGTTTCGTTGTAACTTAGGTCAATCATGTGTTTTAATAATGGTATAAGTAAATATAATGAAATGAAGCGTTTTGGTAATTGTTTTTCAATCAGTTCGACACGACTTAACACATAGTTAAGCAAATAAAAATTTGTATTTTTATTCTTAATGCAGTTTAGAGTTCAATAGCTTTTTCATGAACTAGGAATATGTGATTTTTACGGGTTTGTATATAAACGGCTCTTTTTTTTAAGGGTATGCACAATTGAAATCTTTGAAAGGTAACTTTGTAAATAGTCAAGTTTTAGCATAATGTAAGTGATATAAAAAATAAGAATTTTATTCAAGAATCTAAAAATAGTTTATGTTGATTATCAAATCTGGTAAATGATAATATTACTAATAGTTGTCATAACTAATGATGACTTAATGATTAGGTCATGATGATTGTAAGATACCTACATAGTAAATATTTTATTAGCGTCATAATATAAATATTTAATAAATTATTTAATGAAAAAAAACAATAAAAAGTATAGAAAATATTGTTTCGAAGGAACTTTAGGTTAAAACTTTTAGGTTAAAAAGGAGCATTTGTATTATTTGTGGAACTTAAATTTTTAGTATTTAAGTAGTAGAAGTTTTGTCCATAAATATGCATACCCCTAACTAATCATAGAGAAATACGAGCCTGAAATTGATTACATTTTCAAAGTCTTTGGGTTGTCTCTCAATTAAATGCCTCAAAAGATGCCTGTTTGTTGTGTTGTCCTTTGGGGGGATTTGAGTTTCTTAGATTACAATTTAGAAATAGAATGTTTCATAAATATGGAGTGTAAGCCTAAAGAAGCGTTAAACAAAAGCAGCCTCATAAACTCACTACCAAGTGTATAAGCGCAATAGCTGGCTCAACTCTCATTTTTCGATCTTAATTCTACTGGCAAACCAAGGCATACACATCGAAGCTATACTATATAGACTAGCCGGGCAGCGGAAAGAAGACCAGCCACAGGAAGGTGGCTATGAAAACGCACGACAGGATCACTGTCAAGGTGTGGGAATCGTGCTTTAATATTGAAGTTCCAGCTTCATTGGTCTTCGATTTTATTTTCTGCTCAAGTTGCTTGTTTTTCTCCTTGGGTAAATAAATGCTGAAGACCTCCACTTTGCCACTTTTTTGCTGCTCGAAAAATTCGATGCGCTTGCTGATGGCTTCCTTGGTTGCGCTGGCCAGTGATCCTGCATCTTTTAAATCCTCTGATTGTTGCTGTTGCTGCTGGGGCTGTTCCTGTTTTTCGTCGATAATTTGATAATGACCCGCCGGTCCTGCGGCGGCCACATCGTGGTCATTCTCCACAATCGTGTGCAACATTCTATTATTATTGTTACCCTGGAAATTGTGCTGACCATGGGCACTCAGTAGATTGTGCTTGATTTTCTCATAGGTTTTTTGCTTAGCCTTTAGCAGCATTTGACCCACTGTTGCCAGTTGCTGCTGCCGTTTGCCTACATCATCATCGCGATCCTCAACCCCATCATCATTTTCAGCCCTTGGCTGGCCATTCTCATACAAAACATGCTCTAGCTGCTGCTGTTGCTGCTGCAACAGCAACATCTGTTCTTGCCGTTGGCTGCAGGTAGTTGGCTCATTGAATTGCTCTTGCTCGAAGTGTTGCAGCTGCAGCTGCTCTCCAACAACAACCGATTGCTGTTGCAGCTGAAGATGATGATGAAGCTGCTGATGATAGGGATTATCATCCAGGGCAATCAGAGCGGACACTGTGCGCAGTAGGGCCAATGCATTGGGAACTATGTCAACATGGTTGCTCCTGCCGCTGTCATCGTTGCTGCATTGTGTGTTGCTGTCGCTGCTGCTGATGTTGCCATCATCTTGGACATACACATCAGCATCATAGTCATCGTCAGCACGTGGCAATTGTGGTTGTTGCGGTTCAACTTGTGGCACAACATCTTCACAGGAGCAAATCAACTCCTGCAACCAACACCAATAACAGATGCATCAGTTTCTTATTTGTACTTTTGGATATTTTTGTGGGTGTATGTGTATGTGTGGAGTGTGTACTTGTGTGTGGGTTGGGGTTTAATAACACTTAAAACTAAACTACAATTGTTCAAGACAAGAAGCAAATGGAAAGCACTCCTAATAGTAAAGCGTTTAACCAAAACCACCTTAAACCTTGAAGCTACATAACAACAATAAACAATAAATAATTTCATGAAGTACAGTGCGTTTCGGAATAGTCAATTTATAAATAATTACTATAAGTTCAGTAAAGAAAAACTGATTTTGTTATGGCATTCGTTCAGCATTCAAACGTTTCAATAATAGAAGCGTTATCAAAATAATTTTACTATAATTAAGAATTTTAGTAGTTCAGTCATTTCAGCACTTTTGCGAATAGTTTTGAGCCAGTCTATATTATAATATAATATAATATACATATTTTTCTTAAAGCATCAAGTTCCGAAAGGCATTGTACTTTAATAAGTAATAAAGATATAACTACGCACCTCATCAACCCCTATGCGACGACATGCCTCCAAAAAATTATCCACATTGCGACGACACCTGGCCATGGTCAACTTGTTCTGAAATGAAAAAAATTAGAAATTTTGAACCTGAAGTCTTAAGCTGAAATTCCAATAAACTCACCACACCAGGAGATGGCACATGAATGCTGGCCACTGAACGCGGGCGCACATAATTAGCCAAATGGCACAGAATGACACCATCCGTTAGAGCTGAGGCCATATCCACAGGCAACGTCATTTTCAAACGCGTTTCAATGATCTAAAAAATGATAAAATTATACTTAAGATTCTTTCTTTCAATTTAAAGCAGAAATGCAACCAAAAAATTGATAAGCAAGTCAATTGTTAATTCCCACTTTATCCACACTTACAATCCTTAACTGGGACATCAGTTCGGTTTCCTCCCTCTGGCGATCGAACTCCCGTCGCATGGTGAAGCTCAGCTTCTCAGCGGGAATATCATGGTTCCAGGTCACCGATCGGTGTGTCTTGACTGTGCCCAGTTTGGTGGTGGAGCTGACTGGTGATTTAATGGTGGTGCTGCTTGCGATTCCCACAGCTGGTGGCACTCCTCCACCGTTGGACGAATTGAATTTATTTGTGCCATTCTTCATCGGACTCTGTGGCTTCACGTAGCCCAAACAATCCGATGTAATGGCAGAGGGAATGCCAGATGCGGATGGCGGCTTTATTTCCGTATTCCGAGAGGGTATAACCTTCTGGATGGGTTTCTTTGGTATGACAACATCATCGACTCCATTCCCGTTTCCGTTTCCATTTCCGTTTCCGTTGTGACTGCTTTGGCTGCTGTTCTGTTTCATAATGGACTTTGGCAGTGTGTTTGAGGAAGATCCGTTCAAATTGCCTGGCGGCGATGGTGATAGATCCTCGTCGTCATTGGGACTGTGGTTGGCATTCGGATGCTTCTGCTTGTAGACGCTAATCTCCTGGTTGCGCTGCTGTTTCAAGGCCTCCTTGTACTCCCTATTATCGAAATTGCGATTAATTAATATGATTTAAATGGGATTTAAATTTCATGCACTCACTTGTAGGTCTGAATATTGCCGAGGGTCTTTCCGGACTTTCCATTAGAGGGATGAACAGTGCCCTCCTGGTGGTCCAGCATGATGTCCTCATCCTGATCCGGCGACGATCCATTACTGGAGCTATTCGAGTGCGCATACGTCAATTTGCAGGGCGATGCAGTGGGACTCAGGGTGAGACTCTCATCCACAATCGTACTAGTGCTGGAGGTGAGGGATGCATCCATTAGATCGGCATGAGAATGTACCGCACTTGGCATCGTCCTGGGCAAAGTGGCAGCCGCGGAATTGGAGACACAGTGCAGCGGTGAATCCGTTTTTGATTTGGCTGGAACATCGTGCGACCAGCGCTTGTCCAGACCATCGCTGGTGCTATAACCCGAGTCAACCTGATGTCTTCGCTGGTTGTTACTGCTGGTGCTGGCTTCGAGGACGTTGCCGCTGGAATTGTGGCGAGGAGCTCTCCGCAAAGTGGTGTATCCATCATAGTTGCCTCCTGTCCGGGAACCCTTCTCGTCCTTGGTGGCCTGCGTCTCCAGAAACTTGAAAACATGCACCAGACCGCGCATGCAGAGCTGTAAATGATTTAAAGGTAATTAGTTACAATATTGGGTATAGGATTTTATAGATCAACTCACACTAGCTGGTGGCGTGGTCAGAGGATTATTCTCCAGTTGCAGCTCCACCAAAGTGCTCATGTGACGAATCTCGAGCGGAAGACTAGCAATCTTATTGTTGCTTACATCCAGAGAAATTAAACTTAAACAGGTTAACTCCCTGGGCAAATACATCAAGAGATTGCTCCTCAAAGAAAGCGAACGTAGAGATCTTAGTTCCCCCAAGCGAGCAGGTAAGTTGGCCAGCTGATTATACGAAGCATCCAGATCGGTCAGGGTTTGATCCAATCGACCCAGTTCATCTGGTAACGAGGCCAATCGATTGTTGGAAACCAGAAGAACCTGAAGGGGCAGAAAACAAATCTCCCGCGGAAGCGTGGATAGCTGATTGCTGCGCAGATCCAAATATGTTAGCGAGGATAGCTGCTTCACCGATTCCGGAATGCTTCGAATTGTATTGTGATACAGCAGTAGGGTCTCCAAGAAGGCAAACGTCGTGACTTCTTCGGGCAGCTCGGCGAATCTATTCCGGGACAGATCTGTAAATAGAAGCAGAGGGCATTTAGTAATGGGAAATCCAGCTGAAGGATGTGGAGTGAACCCGAAACCCAAATGTTTCATTTGACACGCACTTTACTTCCCATTCCACTTATATTTACACTCCACGCCGCAGTGGAGCGCCTGACCTCAATCAGCCGGCAATTTGATTCGCCCCATTCCGACCCACAGGAAAAGTAATGTTCATAAGCACGGGATACTCGACTTTCAGATACCCTCAAAGGCACATTTGAAAATAATTCAAATCTCAGCATATTGTTTTTGCATGTACAAATAATTGTATATTTATAAATATAAATAGAATATTTTGTATACTTTGCTTTTTGAAAGGATTTATTTATTACTTTTATCTAAATGTTTAACATATTTAAATCAAATATTTGCAGGTTACATTGTCTTCTGTTACAAATGTATATTTCTGTAAATCCCAATATACCCTTTCGCAATCCCCGCGAGAATTCCAAAAAGTGGGCAAGTGCGTTTGGAGTGAGCTATTAATTTACTAAATGAATTTGCATGCGAAATGAGCGCAAACAGAACGAAAACTGCGACTTTGTGGGGGAGTGGTTATGAATAAATCAACCAAAAAAAAAAACAGGAAAAGGAAAATACAGAGGCGGACCAGCATTAAGAGATACACATAAACACTTTTAAGATTTCGACTTTGGAATTAACTGAACAACAAAAAAGTACGATTACATTCTACATATTTTAGAAGGGCATACAAATACAAAAATACAAAATATAACAATTTCATATTAAATAATATTCAAGATAATAAAACAAAAGATTTTTTCTGTGTAGCAAAGCGTAATCAAGTTAAATTGTGCGCAAAGTTTCGGGGAAAACGCAAGGAAAATTTAACATCAAGACATTTTTTGCGAAATTGGGCAGATTGAAGTGCGATAAGAGCGAGGAAAAAAGATTTAATTAGTTGAAAAAACTTTTGTGGGCTGTTTAACGCTGATGCATTTAAAACTGTTCTTGGGAGGATGACATAATCTTTGGCTTTTCCAAAAAGAAAAGCTATAGTGAACACAAAATTAATTTGGTTTTGATTTTAAATATTTATATCTATATATTGAGAAGAACCCTAAAAATAAGATACCGTAAACAGTGTTCTAATTAACTATTTGAAGATTTGAAATTCTTGAATTCTCAATACAGTTGTAATTTAAAATATAACATTTAACATGAATTAGAAAAAATAATAATAATAATTCATATAAAAGTTCAGTTTGCTTGTGAAACTCTTTATAGGCGCATTTCAATTTCAATTCCAATTTAATATAGCAAAGTCGATAAAGTTCAAGCCGTGGAAAGCCAGTTTCCAAAAACTTAAATAAACTTTTTGATGCCAAAGACTTCACTTCAACATCTTCAAGTAGTTCAAGCACTTTGCAAACAGTGCGTATGAAATTGGTGAATTTTAATAGCCATATCGTAAAAATTAACGAACCGCGGACCAGCCTGGTCTCGGCTCTTCGCCTGCCTTCTGGCGCTTTTTACGCAACTTGCCAAAACACAGTGGAAACCAGAAGTGAGCAATTGCGGGCCAAGAAAAACTTGCTAGCCTGAATAAGTGACTGATTGACTGACTGAATAACTGACTGCGAGCTGGCGACAGCAGTAAAGTGATTTACGCACTGAGGGGAGCCACCAAGACCAGACTTTGTATACATCTTTCTGCGGACAAAGGCGATGAATGAATGGGAACTTGACTTCGGTAGCTTCTAGACATTAACCTGCCACATGCAGTGCTCCTACTACTGTTGCATACTATATGAGTTCACAATGATGCAAGGCACAAAGGCGGCAACGTCTCTACACCGTTAGAAAATGTAAGTTTAACATCATCAGAAATTTCAGATTAAAGGAATTGTATCTTCATTTTATAATTGTCGTTTGGTTTAGTTTTTACATTTTGCTTTAATACTAATTGTAAACCTATCTTAATATTTGAAAATCTAGAAAAACAACCAACCCAAGTATATATAAATAAATTCCAGAATCTCTAAAATATTAAAATTCATCTTAAAAACTCAGTTTTTAATATATCCTTTGAAACCCAACAAGCTAAATATTTTTCGCAAGTGCATATTCCTTTTTCCTTGTTTCCTGTCAAGTTGAATAAACCTTAGCCGGCCAATGACGTCGGGATGAGATGGCTTAGAGTGAAAAAGTTGTTCGAGGATAAGGATGCGGATGCGGATGCGGAAATTGGATTTCCCTGATGCGGAGGCATCAATTTAGGACAAAATGGGACCAGGAGCGACTTTGCACTTTGAACCTGCAATCCCGTGACGAAGATATTTTTTATCTCTAGCGACACCTGCCCAATTGTGCTCTCACTGGCAGTTTTCCAAGAGTTTCCACTCCATTTCCCCGCCCACCCACTTTTTTGTTGCCCACAGCTGGCTTTTGGCCAACTTCAACGCAATGCGACAGGCGAAAATGTGTTTTTTACGTCTCGCCAAATAAATCAAATTGTTTGACGCGCCGAAAAAAATTCAAAGTGCCATCGCTGTTTTTATACGTATTTTTTAATGTTCGTGTTTCTTTTTAATTTTCATTTTTGTTTGCCCACCTGAGGCTCAACATGAAGTCATAAATATTGCAGAACTTGTCCTCAGACCACGCAGGCATTTATCCAGCCAAAAAAGGGTGCGGCTCTGGATTTGGAACTAACATGGATTCGAGCAACGCCCAAAGTCAACTTTGACAACAGACACGCATAACAATGGAGCAATATGATGATGTAAGTGGAGCAGGAAACGACTCAGTTAGGACCCTCCTTGGAGGTATTTTACCTCCATAATATTTAATACACTCCTGCATGAAAATGAATCTGGAAATTTCTCATCATTCACAGGAAGATAGCTGAATTGGTTTCCAAATAAAATTGTCTTTTTTTATAAACAGCTGGAAACATTTCAAGCTTATTGTTTTATTATATAAACAGGTACTTGAATGACGAGATAATGCCATAAATTGGTAGAAATGATAACAAGATTGATGCAAGCTTGATAAAAGCGGTTGATTGATAGATAAGATATAGGAACACACAGATAGACTGCTTATCATAACCCGCAGACTAAAATTCAATAGCAAAAAATGTAATAGTAAAACGTTACTATGCCTAGTATCCAAAAGTTTACAAAAATTATGAACCTTATAAAACTCCATCTTAACCCTTTACATCCTCGTATACCCTGTAGGTTAAACGCTTTGTCCCGAAAAAAAAGAGACACATGTGGCAGACATTGAGTGGCATTTTGATTTTGAAGGGCGTGGGCCCAAGCCGGAAGCAGCAAAAAATTAAATTGATGGCGCCCCAACGATATTGGCAAATGGGACTTGATTTCTTTTCCCTCAAATCTTTTTTTTGTAAACCTCTGGTCTAGCCATGTGGGCGTCTGTTTGTCCAGCAATGGAGCACGTGCCTCTCTACTTTATTTGGCTCGGGCTCTTTAATTTTTATTTTGACTTTGCCGAATATGAATGTGGATGTCGACGATGTGGCTGCCACTACATGTCTGTCCATTAATATTGACTGACCATTAGGCAAGCGAAGGGGCACAAATAGCTACAGTGGATTATATTGATGGATTTATTGAAATTAATTTGTTTAAGTGTTATTGCTGAATTTGTGGGCATAAAGTGGGGCGATGAAATTATGAATCATTCGGTGTAATGTAGGAACAAATTATTGGGAATCGAACAGACATATGCCGGGTAAGAAGTAAATTACTTCTTAAACAACTAAAAGTGAACTTCATGTCCAATTTCCACCCCAATAAGAGTGTCAAATTGAAATCTTTTTTATATTAAAAAAAGAAATCAAGGTATACACCCTTATAAAATTCTTCAATTTACGCTTTATCGAATATCATTTTCCAAGAACACTGAGCTGTCAAAGGAATTCTTTCATAATCGATACCCCAACGAATAAAGTTTGGTTTATTTATATTTCCATTTCTAGAATTACATTGGAAACCAATTGAAAGCACTCTCATATATAGGGCAATGTCCAACTATATGCGCACTTCTAAATTATCAAAATAAATAATATGGAAAATCGCGTTTGGTTCTTGCTCCATCGATTGATTACTTTTTGATATTGAAAGCTGGAAGCAATCAAGACACAGATAGACACCAATACTCACTCAAGGCGTAACAGTCTGATTTTAATTCCATATACAAACACACACCCTCTTCTCTGGGAAAGTCTGTCCCACTTTGTTTGTTTTATACGATGCAATTTCGCGTAGAATTGCTTCTTTAACACCATCCTGTTCTTCATGCTCATTTAATCACAAAGCAAACACCAGAAATCTGTGTTGGCCAAGTGTAAACATATAAAAAACAAATATTTGAAAATATTTGGAAGCAGATTTGGATTTGTTGTTTTTGTTGCAGCTGCTGATTAATGTTTTTCTTCCAAATTCAAAGTATACCAGCTGTGTTTTTCTAAGTTACATATTTCCAATGCAAATACAAACAGAGGAATAAAGAAAGATCAAAACAATGAAAAGAGTCGGCGTTTTCTTACAGTAGAAACTGGGTATGCAAAACATCTTTTTTTGTTAGATATATAAATATAATATAAATATATCTGGTTCATAGTTGATATATATATATTAATATTATGAAGCCAACAATATAAATTAACTTTTAAATATAATTCCTAGAAATCACTTACTTAAAAAACGAGAAAATGTGGAATTATTTGTTTAAATTATCATATTTTTCTAAGAAAATGAAAACAATATTCCCATTTTACAATTCAAAGGTCACAATTAATTTAGATTAAACAAGAAAAACGAATAAAAAAAACTTAATTTTCTAAATAAAAAATATATTTATGATCAGGTCAAAAATTCTATTTAGCTGGTACCAACTGTACGTGAAGTGTTAGTAATCTGATCTATCTTTTTTGTTCTCTCTGTCTCGCTTTCTGAACGCGTGCTGTGCACAGCAATTAAGCAACTAGAAGAATTGGCCCGACGTCTGTTAAATAATGCTTACACTTATAAATTAATGAAAATGACTCAATGCATAATTCAACTTTATCTGTGTCAAGTTTAAACTGCCCTCAATTTTGCCAAGATATGTACATATGTATGTACAAAAATATAAGCGTATATAGCTACATAAGTCGTTCAACTGTAGATTAGCAAGCGAGAAGGCAAGCAAATTGCATTTATCGCTGAAATAATAATGTTATTTTTAACCCGCAAATGGGCACAATGAGGGTGCATTTAGAAATGGATATAATATAGGGGGTACAAAAATTGTATGCAATGGTTGTGGATTGTGTGTGTATATAGTATCTCCTCATTGACTAATTTGTTTACCAAGAAGCTTTCAGTAAGAAATAAGATTACTGTGGGAAAATCCAAACACAAATTGTTATAGTATTAATCTGTGGAATTTTTGAGATTTCCAAATTATATTTGTGCAACTTATACAAATGGTTTTTGAATGGCAATTAATTTAAACGCTTGGGACGAAATAAATTCTAAAATTTATAAGAAATTATTAATTAAAATATATAAAAAAAATTACTTTTTTATCAACTAAGAACCACAAATGTATTTTCCAGAAAATTAGGTGTGTACATATCAATTTCTTGTGTATTTATTTCAGAATCGACCTTCTGAGGAAATACTTTATCATGATACCATCTCCAATCCCGATGCGTTTTTTATGTTTCCCTGCATTGTGCATGCAAGCCATGAACCGTGCAGTTTGACAGCAACTGGAGATAAGCGACGTGCTGCGGCGGTCGCATTTCCTCTTTTGTCTGCTGCAGACGGAGAATAAATAGTAATAAAAGTACAAAAAACCAGACTAGCTGTCTTTTTATGCCCCATCATATTTACAATGCAAACAACAAATATACGCGTCGGATACACACGACAAAAGCATTTTCCCCGCTCTATAAGTACTTTGTTGTTATGTTTGCCGGGACTTTGACTTCCCCAAAACAGAAAAGATTTCTTGTTCTCGGTCACTTGGCAGACGTTTCACTCAGTCTGAAAATATAATAGTGAACCGGAGTGGTGAAAAGTTTTATTACCAAAACCAGGCCCAGGAACTTACTAAATAAGCATTGTAAAATAAAAATACATACTATCTAATGAATAATAGTATATATAGTATGAATAAAAATATATAAAACTATCTATTCGTGCTAAAAATCGTTTTCGTTTCCCCAAAAACTTTAAAAATATGGACATGTATTTTTTGTGTTCTAGTATTTAAACATTGCAGAATAGTTCAAAAAGGTTGTTAAGATATTTACATTGTATTTTACTTTTCTGTCTAGTAAAATGCAGTTCATTGATTATGGCTTAAAAAAGGCCGAGTGGCCAACACTCTACGTCAGCTGGTGCTGCCTAAGCCGGCACCGAAGTTGCGGTCTGCGCAGCTGCTGTTGCTGCTGTGTGCTGAAGTTGCTGCTGCATGTTGCTGCTGCTGTTTCTACCTTCTTACATTTACTTGGGCTTCTCCTCTCACAACTTCTGCCAATGCCAGCTGCAATTTTTTACCCGTTTTCCGTCTTTTTCTGTTTTGCTGCAATTATTTTAAACAATTTCCTGCTGCAGCGTTGTCATGTTGGTTTTTTTGCTCTTCTCGATTGACTCTTTCTTTTGCGGCCTTTGTCTAGGTTTTTGGTTTATTGTTCTGTTTGATTTACGTGGCACGCGTGTTAATTAAACGCCGCAAAGGAATGCACTGCAAAAAAGGAGGGGGTGGCAGGCGCAACAACAAATTATTTTAGGAAATGGTGACAGGCGCCGGACCATTCCATTAACTTCTTGCCATTTTGGGGGTTGCAAAACATGCGTGCAAATAAAGGAAAGAAAAATGGTTGTATATTCTTTTTTTCTTCGACTTTCTTTTCCTTTAGACTCCATTGATTTCTTGGAAACTGGAAACCCTTGTGGTTGAAACCATTAAGGCTATGAGCTGTTGCCACCTCTTAAGGTCCACCTCCCACACAATCGAAAAACCTTTCGCAGAGGGTGGCTTCTTTGTTCTCGAAAAGGCAATTTGTAGAGGCTCTTTCGCTAGGGTGTATTTACAAATATTTTCCCCACATATTAACCCTTAACGAGAGGTTCAAACCTATCTCGATTTCCCCCTATTTTTCCCATGTTCTTTCGCACCAAATCCAGCATTTTAATTAGTAATTAGTCACGCCTTCGCAGCTGATGACTCAATTGCTAGTTAGAAAACGCAAGAAACTTAATCGAAAAATGAACAAAAAAACCGGAAGCACATTAAGTCTCCAAAAGGGGAAGGGATTCCAAAGAAGAAGGGATCGTTTCCCCATTTCGAGTTGATAGCGCGTGACCATAAGTCACGGATTGTCACAGCTTAATTCACAAAGCAAGTCACGTACGAGAGGGAAGGAAATTGAAAATATATTTTTTTGCCTAGGTTAGGGAAAGGAAAACATTTAAAAATCCGATAAAACGGTTTATAACATTTTCGGAGGTTTAATTATTTAAAAATTATATTTATATAAATGCAAAAAAATAGTACATTTAACCTTATGTTTATCAACATCTTTATTATAGGTATGTATATATTGAGAATACAATAACTTTCAAATACAAACATATTTATCTATTTCGCAAATGCTTTTCAATAACAAATTTCTGTTTAATTCAATTGGTACATAAAAATTAAATTTTAATTGAATTAATGGCAGAAAGTGATTATTTGGAATTTCTGTTTGTTTATTTTTGTTAATTTTCAATTGTCGGATGATTGAATAGGACACAGACAAAAACGTACTTTTATAAAATTCTTTGCCCATTCTTTTACCTAATTAGTTTTCAATTTATGACACAATTTATTTTTATCTCTCTTCCACGGCAATAAATCTTCGCAGTCCAAAAATAAATAGATCCCTTCTATTCGAGATATTTCCACCAACAGACACATAAATACAGTACGCTCTCTGAAGAGTGAACACTCTAATATTAGAATTTTTTTAGGAAGTCGTGTTCTATAAGATTATAGTAACATACAAATTTGCCTTATTCTTATTCCCTAATTAGATTAAAAACTTCAATGTTTTATAATTGACATAATTATATGTTGGTTTTAAAAAAAAATTCATAATCATTCACCAACATATTGTGAAAACTTAAGAGTTAGTGCGTTCACTATTTAACGCAAAGATTTCGGAGTTCAAATGTGAATCTTTTGTTATTTTCTTAAAAAATTAATTTTACTTAATTATTTAATAGTGATTTATATTAATTGTAAAGTGATTATTATAAAATAATTTTTTGTCAATCTATAGAGGACATAATTGTTGGTTCATTATTAAGAGCGAGCACTGTATGTGTATACAACAAACACAAGTGAAAATCGATGAGAGACATGTCCCGTTGTGAGAACATCTGTTCGAGGGTAGCAGCAGCTGTAAGAGGGGGCGGGGCCGTGGGAGAAGGCGGTGGTCGGTGGGTTTTTGGGTGGGTGATTCGCTTTGGTATTTCCCATTTCCCTGCTGGTGCATATTTTTTGGCCCTAACAAAAACGAAAGTTGGTTGAACTTCGACGAAATTTCGTGCCGGCAGCGGCAAAAATAAGGATAACACGAATAGAGCAAAGTGCCAGAGAGCAGAAACGGCGGTAATTATTGTCCTTGAGCGCAGGCGAAGAAGGGACAGAATGGGAGAGCGAGAGAGAGCAGCTGATGGGAGGGAAGAAATGGCAAAAAGGGAGAACCTCCTGCGGCTGCTGCAGATTATTGATTTTCAAGCAACAAAAGGAAAATTCGCTATTGCAACGGAGATAAGAAAACTTGGTTAACAGTCTCCGGCACACACCTTTTTCTAAGAGCCGCACCCACATTTAAACTTGTCTAATACTAATAAACTAGCAGTTAGCGAGAATGTACTCTTATCCTTTACGACTAATTTCGATTCTACTTTTATTTTAATAACGATTAAAACGTAACTATTTTAAATTAATTAATTTTTTTCAATTTTAATTGTTTATTTTATGAAATTTTCAAAGGATATTGTTAATAATAATTTAAACTATTGTGGGAATATATAAAAAAGTAAAGTAAAAAGTAAAAGTGAAGTTCGATGTATCGATCTTCAAAAGAACATTTGGCTGATCATGAACAAAAATTTGTTTTCAATACCTAGAGGCTAAAGATCTTTATAGGTCCACTTTTCCTTGATTCCCCTTATCTGGTTTTCCCTGTAATTAAAAGTTACCCACCTGCGATGACAGTGTCCGTGAGGGAATACTTCGTTCCCGATCTGGGAAAGTCCTTAAGTTTTCGATTGGTCAGGATCAGTTCGCCGCTGAAGTGTGCCTCTTCCAGGATTCGTTCAAGCGAGCGCGTCAGTTGAGAATGGCTGAGGAGGGCGGAGGAGGAGGTATTTCCGGGGCCTGCTCCCGATCCCGACCCTGATCCGGATCCTGAAAGGGAAGCCGATCCGCTGCCAACTGCGCTGCCGACGCCGACGGCGACGCTATGTAGGCGTTGGTAAACCGTTGCTGCCATTTCCAGTGTAGGCGTGGTGACACACACACACACTCACACGCACCGAAACAGACCGATTAAAGAGCGGACAGAAATGCCGAAAAAAACTAGAAACTATTTTTGCTCTATTTAAACACACGCATCTCGATTATTTTTCAATTAGTGTTTGGCTCATTGATAAGATTTCTCGGAATTGGATTTTCCTTTTGCGGCTTCCTTCTTGCTTCCTCTTCTTCACCTCCTCACACACACGCGCCCTTACACTCAAGCGGCACGGAACAGAACGCACAGCGAATATCCAAAAAACAACTGAAGCCAGTGTGGCCGGGTCTGGACCGTCCGAAACATACCGACTGGAATTGAAGAGAATGTACTAAAAACAACTTCAGTATTTTTAATATTTAAATGCAGCCCTGGTTTTTTTATAAATCATATATTCAAAATCATGCTGCCCAGCTATAATTGAAAATAAATATGCACCTCAGTATTAAAGAGTTAAAGGGTATTAAATAGTTATTAAAAATTTGTAGGTATACACTATTTTTGAAGTAGTTAGTTTGAGTTTTGATTGAGATTATATAAATAAGGAAATTTAGTTTAGACCAAGTCAACCGTTTATTTAATTTAATTAAGCCAATCAATGCCGATTCGATTCAATCAAAGATAAATAAATAAATGAGATGGAAAGTTCCCGCAAGCAAAGAATGGTGTCTTGTAGTGTCCAGGATAAAAATTAATCTGTTACTAACAATAAACAAACCTTACGTTTCCAATTTTTGAATTTTTGAATTTTTGTTTACTTGTACTATTTATTTAAATAATTTTAGAGAGACCTTTTTTTCCCACCCATAATAATACCATTCCCTTAATATCGATGTCGGTTTCGCTTGCCGCAACTATCGATTGGCGCAGTGCACTGCGGCTGTATTCCCATCTCTAACTTAGTGCAACAACAAAATTCCAACGCAACGCTAACGAATTGTGCAAAAAAGTTCTAAAATTAGAGTTAAAGTGTAAAACAAAAGAAAAAAAAACGCGTTGTTTATTAAATCGTTTTTCCGCAGTACGGTGTGACTAGTGCCAGAGCTTATCTTATCTGAGTGTGTGCGTTAAACACATCAAACCAGTGCGTTTTTTCGCGTCCCTTTCCCTCCCCTTTTCTTCTTCTTCCTCTTCTATAACTGTGTCAAATCAACAACAACAACAAGAAAATCTAGAACAATGTTTGTGTGTGTGTATTAAATGCACAAATTGATAAGAAATTTGATTCAATTTAATCTAGTTTAAATCAGTTGAAAATCAGTGCAGGCGTCAGCCAAAAATACATTATAAATATAAAATTACTAATCCATATAAATAGAATACCCTTGAATGGAATTGTGTGAGCCTAATTTATTCGACAACGTTTTTGGTTCCCCATTTTTTGAAATTATAACGAAGTTATCTATCGAAAGCAACAACAAAAAGCGGTTTCTGTTTGTTTTTCAAGCTCAACGAAAAAAAGAAGAAAAGAAATCGGCTTCCAATCAGCTGTTACAAACAGCCGCATAAGTGCGAGTGAGACAGTCTGCCTGCGCGCCAAAATAAAACAACAACAAAAGTGGCACCGTGGTTCGAAACCTAGCTAAATTCTATAAATCAATTTATTTTATAGATAAACGAAAAAGGAATTTAAATTAAATTTACCTAGATTTGTTAAGGTAAGTAATCAGCATTCAATAAATTCTAACAAAATTGTTTATACCATAAATTTATTTTTCCAAGTTTTTTAAATCGTTTACATTTAATACGCGTGTGTCTAAAATAAGTGAAAATTAAAAGAAATAGTGAAAAATGAGTGATGAAACAAGCGATTCGGGCGGGCCAAGCGCCCCTCTACCATCGCCAGTTACTGCGGATCCGGAACCAGGAGTTACGGCCTCCAAACTACCGGGTCCAACCCGATCCAATATTCCCACGCCCGCTTCATCCGGATCTGGAATTCCCACGCCCGCTGTCTCAGGATCAGGGATTCCCACGCCCGCTGCCCCAGGAACCGGAATCCCACAGCCCAGCAAAATGAAGGCACCATCTAATTTTGGGTCGACAGGATCTGTCTCCAAAATCGGAAGACCCTGCTGCAATCACACAACCCCTAAATCGGGGCCACCACCAAGAGGTAAGTTCAAATCGATGCTATACCAATTCAAAACAGGTAATATTGTAGTTAGAAGTTAAATGTTTAATATTGATTGGATATAAATTTAAGCTACAAACTGCAACCATGAATACTATTTGAAACTCTGTGTATAAGAAAGGTAAACCTCTTAGTTTAAAGCCTTTTCTATTTCAACTTCCTTAAATCAATAATAACCAAATTATTATACATTAGGCACAAAGAGTTAGCTTTCAAATCAATGGTAAAAAATAAAGCTTACTCAGACTAATAGTTAATCAATAAACAATACCACCCTTGAAAACACTGTCAAGTTATTCAAATGTCATAAACAAATTAACATCTCAATTTGTTTCCCGTCAATGGTTTTTATTTCACAATCTAACTAATTTAGTTAAAAAGCTTATCTTTTTTTTTAAGAACTTCCGCGAGTTATTAAAGACTATCTTATTGCAAAGAACGAAAATCTTTTGGCAAGAAAAGGTCACCAAAATTCGTTGATCTACGAAAAAGAATCTCTATTAAATATGTTTAATTAGTAAAAAGTTTCGCATCAAAGTTGGTATTTATTCATTTACCCGCAAAATGGGCGTTAAAACAAACAAAAACAAAAAATCCAAAAAGAATGGTAAGTGTAACATAAAACTTTTAAAACTTAACACATTGGTAAAAAATATATTAATTGGATATTTTTAAGCTGAACCCTTAACTATACAATTTGCCTTTGAAAAAGGTTAAACTTATATATACGTCTGCTCCACTCTCAAGTTTTTTCACAATGAAAATGCACTTATTTCGTGTTTAGATATTGGGCTTAAGCAAGTCGTCTGTAATTCCGGTTCGAACCAACTGCAACCACCCACATAGGCACCCACAATTTATAGTTTTTTATAAGCTCCGCGAATGCAATGATCTAATGGAAACGATGACAGGCCCACTCATTTGCTGAAAATATACACACTGACCCCACCCACTTTGAGTGCACTTTTTTGCACTACATTGAACTGCTAACCAAATTCTAAATTCCTTTTACAGAGGGGAACCCATTTCTCACTTTTAATAATATCAAAGTGTTATTCCCATTGTCAACGGTTTTGTTTTGTAAACAAATGCTTCACTTCACTCAATTATTTAATCATTTTGCAGCACCTACGCGCAATACAAAAATAAACAAAACAAATTGCCGCCCACTCCTAACTCTCGATCATAATTATAGAGCTGCCCCGAAAAGTGTTTTTTGGGAAGGAGAATTATGGCCAATTAGACAAGTGCTGCTACCATTTAATTGATCCGCCCATTGTGGCTCATTTCAGGCACGTAACCTAACCGCAGCCGTCAACAAACGGCGACCCACTAGCCTATATAGCAAACGATCTGCCAAACGATCCATCGATTGACGGGTTTTCTATTTCGCGAACACACGTTCCATATCCAATTGACAGTCGGTTTGTAACCGCTAAATCGTAGAAAGCCTCCGGGCAAAGTTACCCAAAATAAACTTAGCAATTGTATTGCAATATTGTTACAGATTGAACTGAGTCACGAGGTGCATATGCGTACAGTGGGTGTGGAAATAATAGCCCCCAAGAGAATAGTTCACACGGGACAGATAGTACTGTTAATGAAGCAATCACTTATGGTAATTTGATTAACTCTTTAATTAGATTGTGTCACAAACTAATTTTTCATATAGTACCAGCTCAGATTCATTACAAAATAGTTTAATAAATACGACATAGTCATTTATTGCACATGATAATTGAATTCATTTAAGGAATTATGTTATTTACGACAGACATTTAATAAAACATTTAATAACATGTTACATTCCATAATTGTAGTCTTATCTATTTCTTCATTATTATAATGTATACATTTTTTTGTTTACATTGAATCTAGTTAAATGATTTCATAGTAATATAATTTATTAAAGAACAAGTAGTGTCTTCAATGGTAGGGTCTAATTTCTGAGTTATTTACTTATGAAAGTAATAATTAACCCACGTGATTAATAAGCTAGGTGAGAATTATTGTACCACTTTGGTTAACTCGTAACAATTACTAATATAAGACATACAGATTTAACTCGCTGCCTAAGTCCAAATCTCTCCTAACATTCTGAAACGAACTGTATGACTCTCTGCCAAGACCTGCCATTTATCTCGCAACAATCAATGTCACTCGTCACTGAGAAATATCCCAACCCAGACCCCAGAAAACCTGGCGACCGGCCGGCAATCTTTCTCTCTCTAGCTCCCTAATTGAATTTGTTCTGACGATGACACAGAAAATACACACAAAATGTATCTTCTGGCATCTTTGTGTGATCTTTAGAGGTGTTTTCGCGCTGTGCTGCGCATTTTGATGCCCGGTTCCGTTCTCAGCCGATCTGATATGTATGATCATTGCGGTCGCCCAGTGGTGTTTGCTCGTGGATGAGCTTATGTCACATTTATTGGTTTCGATCGGAAACAAGAGTGGAGCCAGCCTCTATAGCACCCATAAAACAGAGAGCTCATTTGTCTTCGCATTAAGATAGAATCGGAATCGGGTCCGGGATTGACGTCTAATGGATGAGCACTGTCTGGCTGGGGATTACTCCATTAGATTCTAGATTGAGCTCGGCTTTGTTTACATCACCGACTCGGTGGGAGAGTCAATATTGATGTTATGATTAACCACTTTTTGTGTTTCTTATTTGACTTTACTTCATTAAGTCGTTGAAATCTTTATAATTGAAGACACGTGTTGAATATTTAAACCGAATACGGCTCAGATTTCAACCAAAAAGAACAGTAACTCTTCAAAAAAGGAAAAGAGTTTTATATGATACAATAAATCATGTTTTTTCAATAATTTACTGCTACCTGAGCAACAATTTCGTCCAAAATGTATTTGTATTCGAACAACCATTTCATCTTAGCGGCACTATTTTCTAACAAATCTTAAAGGCCACATGCACTTTTTGTGCATTTTTTATATATAGCTGATAAGTATTTAAAAATAATTGACTGTGATTAGCTTGATCATTTGTCTGGAATTCAGTATTTTAATCTCTCGAAACAATTGTTCATATGTTTTCTACTTGGAAATTTAAAAAACAATTAGACACGCATCGATGTGTTAACTAGTACCAAGTGATTCAGAACTTGTGAAAGCCCCTTAAAAAATAGTTAAAATAAAATACATTTATTTTAAAGATTTTTAAACTAGTACCTAAATTAAAAGTAAACACTTTAATTTTAAAGTATATACAGCTCCAGGAACACTGTTTTTCGTTTAGTTCTCTTTGCAAAACATTTTAAAAACTATAAGTAAGCCATTTATATTTTCTGACTAGAAACTCAAAACAATCGTAAAAATAATTGAAACTCTGAACATTTGATATATTTTTAATGACTAAAAATTAAATACATTTTTTTAAATAAACATATACAAAATATAATCTTAAATGAACATGACAACTATTTCATCATTAAAAAGTATTTCAATCGAAATTAATAAAATGAACTTGGGTTTCTCTGAATGCGTTAAATAAAAACTCTTATTATTATATCAAAATATTTCGGAAAGAAATCTTAAAACTTTCAGCTTTTGACTTATCTTTTAAATTACTTTTCTGATGCTTTCGCTGCACTTACGGATAAAGTGCTAAAAGCCATTGAGCGATCGATCAATATCGGAACAGAAAAGGAAAAATATAAATGAAGCCATGTGGCAACACTTTGTTTGCTGGATTTACTTGGCTTATACGCGTCCGTGCAAAAGTCGAAAATAAAAACAATTTTTTTACGGCTCTTACTTTAGGCAAGTAAACGTTTATTCAATAAAAACACACTGAAAGCGGGCAGGCATTGCCACAGTGTCTGCTATTAAACACTGGCCAACAAAGCTGCGATTCCGGATTGGCAATCGCTTGTCGCTCTCTCGCCGCGAAGTATCTCAAAGTTTTGTGCTGGCTTCGCTTCGCGATTGGCGCTCGACGTTCAGTTACTTGAACGACTTTTCGCGAGGCGGACGTGTTGCACGCGGGATCGCAACTCAGATGGCAACCAATTGAACTTGATCGGCTCTATACTATAGCTTATAGTGAACACGCAAACGAAATTGAACAAATCCAAAATAAAAGCCAGCTATAACAGAGAATAATTTATTGTTATAAAACTCACAAAAGGTGATTTGCAGTCACATGAAAATTATTGTAAAAACAATTCATCAGTTATCTATAACTCAAAAATCAAAATTATAAGGCTCAGAAGAAGAACTGTAAATGCAAAAGTTTTGTGACCCTTTTTTCCGTCCTTGTGTAATCCGTAAAAGGACAATTTATTTCGGTGCCAGATATTTTTGGAAACTTTTGTTTTTCATATTTCAAGTGACAGCCTTTGACCTTGGTTCGTCTGGTTGATTACCATTTCTTAATCAAATTTATTCTTTTGTTGCTCTGTGAAACTGTGATTTGCCTTTCGACGCCCTGAACTCATAAATATTTATTTAATTTTTTTGTCTTAGCCAAGCCTAAGTTTTTTCAAGTTCTTTTACTTAATTTGTTTTTATTGCATTTAGCGATAAGATATTTAGTTGCTATCTCTCCTTTAAATTATAACATTAGGTGATTAAAATTTTACCGATTTTCCTGGGGCTTGGCTTATTTATGTCTGCTCAGTTTAATGGCATCGATAATTTGGCAAACAAAAATGCCAATAAATACTGTAGTGTGATTCATTTTATACCATTTTTGAACTAGATTTTAGGTAGTAAACCTAATTTATTTTGTTAAATATAAAATAAAGTAAATATAAACAAGGACTTCAATTAAAAGTTAAATGATTCGGAAGATATTTTATAAACACAGTTACCTAGCCTTTTTTTGAATATAGTTAACTTAGTAAGTTTATTTTCCCCTAGAACTATTTTAAAAAGTAACTTCCAAGAACTGTAAAATAATACAACAATTTATAAGGCAGGGTTTACCCCTTAGCCTTTTAACTCGTATCACTAAC